CATATATAGCAAAAAGACTAGCCTATTTAGGAAGTATCAGTTGTACAAAAAGATAGATTTTCCTAACTTAGTTAACATGCAAAAAATTTCCTATATTTGCACCATAAATTACTCTATTCTAGATTATTCCCTTTCAACACTCCCCTTCAAGCTGGCTTGTAAATGTCTTCTATGGCCAGCTTGCTTACAAGAGAATCAAACTGAGTTTTAGGCAATCATTTGGTGAGAATATCAGCTACCTTTTGATTTATAGGTATGTAAGGAGCACAAATTAGAGTATTCTCAGGTTTTTCTTTGATAAAATATCTGTGAACTTCGATATGTTTAGTCCCATCTTGAACAACTAGATTATGAGCAAATGAAATCGTAGATTTACTATCACAATACACTTTCATAGGAAGTAAAATTGAGAGTTATAGATCTTTTAGTAATCTCTTAATACATATCATCTCACAAATGCCATGCACAAGAGATCTGAATTCGGCTTCAGCATTACTCTGTGCTACAACACTTTGCTTTTTACTTTGTCAAGTGACTAAATTTCCACCAACAAAGCTGCAATAACCTGATGTTGATCGTCGATCAACAATGCTTCTTGCTTAATCAACATCAGTGTAAACTTCTATCTGAACATTACCACTCTTTATAAACATCAACCCTTTTCTAGGTGTCCCTTTAAGATACCTTAGTATTCTATATGCAATATCAAAGTGTTCTTGCCTGGAGCATGCATAAATTGATTTACCATGCTCACAACAAATGCAATATCAGGACAAGTGTGTGATAAGTGAATAAGCTTACTTACCAAATGCTGAAATTTTTCCCTTTCAATCGCATTTTCAGCAATAGATGGATTTAGCTTCAAATTAGCTTCAATTAGACTCTCGACTGCTTTGCATCCCAGAAGGCTAGATTCATTGAGTAAATCAAGAATATATTTTCTTTGATTCACAAATATACCTTCTCTTGATCTTGCAAACTCCATACCTAGAAAGCATTTCAACGCTCCTAGGTCTTTAATTTCAAATTCTTCAGCTAATCTCTTCTTTAGCATTGGTAATTCATCTAGATCATCACTTGTCAAAATCACATCATCCACATATACAATTAAAATTACAATCTTGCCCTTATCAGAATAGTTATAAAATATAGCATGATCAGCTTGACTTTGATGATATCTATAGCCCTTTATTGCCTTCCAACCTAGGTTTTGTGAGACTATTTAAGACCATAGAAAGACTTCTTAAATTTGCACACTTTATTTTGGCCATAGTGCATCAATCTCCTCAATAACTGCTAATTTCCACTTGGGATCATCAAGTGCTTGCTGAATGTTTCTTGGGATAAACAAGTTAGAAATTTTTGATATAAATGCCTTATATTTGTAAGAAAGCCTATCATATGATAGATACTTTACATGCATTAGTACAAGAACGAGTTCCTTTCCTAATGGCTATAGGTATATCCAAATCATTATATTCTGTTTTAATAGAATTATTAGGAATAAAAGGAGAATCAATAGAAAGAGATAAAAGTTGAGAATCAACATTGCTTGAACCTGAATTTGAAGCATTAGATTGGCTCAGTGGTGGTTTGGGTATAGATGATTTTCTACCCTTTCTACGACTTCTCTTGTATGAACAATAACCTCGGGCTTATACTCGTTAGAATTATTTGGTAGTGTTTCTCCCTTTGTCAAAGATTCCTCCATACTTGGCATAATAGGATTAGGAGGCACGACTTTGGGTAAAATATGCTGAATATCCCAACAATTTTCTTCATCTAGATTCTCCCTTTGAAGAAAATTATTTCAAAAATAGGGTTGATTTTCAAGAAACGCATCCATAGTAATTACAATTTTGTGAGTTAATGGATGAAAACATTTATATCCTTTAGTATTTGCTGCATAACCAACAAAAACATATTTTTCAGCTTGAGGATCAAGTTTCGATCGATCCTTCTGAAGAATAAAAACATATGCTGTACAACCAAAAACTTTAAGAGGTAAGTGTGAAAAATCTGAGTATAAGGAAAACAATGTTTGAAACATTCTAAGAGTGTAATGTAATTCAAAACACGAGTAGGCTTCCTGTTAATTAAATATGATGTAGTTAAAATAGCTTCACCCAAGAGATATTTAGGAATATGCATAGAAAACATTAGTACACGGGCAACTTCTAGTAAATGTGTATTTTTTTCTTTCAGCAATGTCATTCTGCTGTGGTGTAGTAACACAAGTAGATTGATGTTGAATACCCTTTCTCTGAAGAAGCTGCCAGGAGTATTACTAAAATATTCATTGCCCTTATCAGTATGTAAAATTTCAATTTTTGTATAAAATTGTGTTTCAACCATTGCATAAAAACTTTTGAATAAATTCTAAAGTTCAGATTTATCATTCATTAAATATATCCAACATAATCGAGTATGATTATCAATAAAAGTCACTAATAATTTTTTTCCAGAACAAGTTTGAGTTCTTGAAGGCCCCTAAACATTACTATGAATTAGGTAAAAAGGCCGAGAAGGCTGATATGGTTTTGAATAATAGGCATTTTTATGACTTTTTGATAAAATGTAATGTTCACAATGAAAATTAAAACTATCAATTCCAAGAAATAAAGTAGGAAACAATTTCTTAAGATATGACAAAATAGGCTGTCCTAATGTATAGTGCAAAAGCATTATTTTATCTTTAATATGGGTAGAACTAAGATTACTGAACCCTTGAGGTACTTCATTCTTGGAATCTTCATCTTCAAAGTAGTAGAGATCATCTATTATCCTAGCATTTTCAATCTTCCTCTTTGATTTTGGTCCTGAAAAACACCATGGGAATCAAAGAAAGTAATACGATAATTAGAATCTTTGGATATTTTGCTAACAGATAGAAGATCATTGGCAAGTTTAGGTACATGAAGAACAGATTTAAGAGATAAAAAGTTTTTGATAGTTTGACGAAACCTTTGTTGTTATAGAAGAATAAGATTGATCTGCTATACAAATTTTTTCTTGCCCAGAACAAGGATTATATGTATGAAATAAATTGAAAAAACGAGTCATATGATCAGATACTTCTGAATCTATTATCCAAGGAGCATTGCAAAAGAGATTTACAAACGAAGGCATTTAAATCACTACCTGTTTGTGCAAGAGAAGCATTAGGAGTATTCGATAATACAATGTTAGATTTTAACAACTTGAGAATATGATCCATTTGCTGAGGACTGAATGGGACAACTTCAGCTTCATGTGCAATGGGAACATTCATTTGGCCATTTTGCTAGTTAAACTTGCCCTCATGCTTGTCCTTCCAATTGGTTGGTTTACCATGAAGTTTCTAGCATGTTTTACGGGTGTGTCTTGGCTAATTACAATGATTACACTATACATGAGTCTTCTTGTGGTTGCTAGCATAGACTTCACCTGTAACTAAAGAAGAATCCTCAAGAATGCTACTTGAAGTTGTCTTGCCAAGCATGACAAGTTTGAGATTCTCTTCATAATGTACTTCGAAAAAAGCTTCTCCAATAGAGGGAAGAGGGTGTTTTTTTAAGATTATTATTATTATTATTATTAGTATTAAAAGATACATTAAAAGCTTGCACTTATTCCACCTACTTCACTATTTTCACGCATAGTTAACCAGGTGGATCAACTATATTTTAGTTCTTACTAATTTAATGATATTTCGCTTTGGCATTTATAGTTTAACATTTTTAACTACCATCCATATAGTTTTCAAAAGATTTCAATGAGACCCACCTAATGTTAAATAACTAATAAAGCAAACAAAAGTTTTTCTTTTCTAGTTTTTTCTTTCAATTTTGATATATATATATATATATATATATATTCACTTTTTCTTCCAGAATTCCATATAGTAATGATATCTCATAAAAATTATATATACATTAAGGCAATGTACTTCATGCCAACTTAGTACTTGCTAGGCGATGATAGGTTTTTGGGATACTAGTAAAGTAATCCATCCGTAAGAAATTTTCAATTAAATTTCCAAAGCTAAACATCAAGGAAAATCATCCTACAACTTTCCAATTGTAATCAATATTGTCCTCTATCATAGGCAATTATCAAATTTTATTTTTCACTCTTTCTTTTCATTTTCCATTATTAGGATATTTTTATCGATGGAACTTGATCGTGGTAGGTTATGACAATAAATATAGTTTACTAATTGTAAAACGTTTAATTACTTGAATATATCAAGTGGCCACAAATAAAATCCTCTATATTCAATGACTTGTGTAACTTTTTTCGACAAGGAAACTTACAAAATTACTTGAATACACATGATTTTATTCGTTTCCACTAGGAGTTAGCATTTGATTTTATACCAATAGTAGCAAAATACTTAATTTGTGCTTGTTGATTTATTTCAAGTGGCACAAATGTGCAGTCAACACTGAGTAATATCTTATAGTTGGTGTTACATGTTGTTTGTATTATAGTGTCCTTGCTTGTTAGAATAGCTGTTTTATTTTAATCTTGTCTTTCAATTGTAAAAGTTTGGTTACTATGTCAGCCGCACGTATCATGTTCCTTGCTATATCTTGTAGATGAAATTACATTGAAGGCATGAATGGAAAATGAAAGAAAACATTTCTCTCTTCCTCTGTGTGCCCCTGTATTTTCTTCTTCTCCTTCAATGAACTCGTCCTTTTTTCTACTAAACCAGTTCAATCACTTTTGGTGATACCAATTTTCATGGTTCAAAAGTGATTTGAGTCAGTAAAATGCATAAACAAAAACCCCTATTGTTAGCTGTACTTGTGGCTGAGATACCATAACCAACTACTACGAGTGAACGGCATACGTTAAAATAAACAAGCTATCCTAACCAAGGGCACTATATAATCCAAATGACATATAACAGTTGTTTTTGTGTGTGTGGGGGGATTGCGATTTTGAATGTTTACACTTGACTGAAAATTTTTGTGTGTGGGATTGTGATTTTGAATGTTTACACTTGACTGAAAATGTCAGACCCTGCAGCAGCGCAAAGGTATGTATCCTAGTGTTGAAGATTTCAGGAATGAATTAGCATCTGTTCTATTTTTTCTTGTGTGTGTTATAAATTACCTCAATTATGGAAAACAGCTCCTTCCATTTATTTGTTGCCATTGATTTTGTACATTCAGAATTCTGTGGTTACAGGTGAGATTTTATGGAGGAGGGGATCATTTAGTTCAGAACCAAAAACATATCTTTTGCAAAACTGTTCTTTATACTGATGAAACCAGTATGCTTAATTGGTGGCCTTGCTAGACTTTCTTGCATTGGATTCTAAGGTGCAGCTCTGTAAATTATGGTATGCAATGAACTAAATGTATCTAAATAATGTTCCTTCTGGGATGCAGGCAATCTCACTTGCAGCCGAAGCAAAACGAGAAGAGGAAAAAGAAAAGGGAGTCAATCCTGAGAGTGGTGGTGAGAACCCTGACATTGTCCCGTTTGAGGATAATGAAGAAGAGGAAGAGGAAGAAAGTGAAGAGGAGGAGGAGGCCTTTGGGCAGCCCCTTGGGGCAGCAGCTCAAGGCAGAGGGAGGGGTAGAGGAATCATGTGGCCTCCTCACATTCCAATGGCCCGTGGGGCTAGACCCATCCCTGGCATGAGAGCCTTCCCCCCATGATGATGGGTGCTGATGGTTTTCCTTATGGAGCTGTTACGCCCGATAGCTTCGGAATGCCAGATCTCTTTGGTGTGGCACCCCGTGGATTCCCCCATATGGTCCGAGGTTTTCTGGTGATTTTACAGGTGCTACATCCGGCATGATGTTTCCTGGGCGGCCTTCCCAACCGGGGGCCGTGTTTCCAGCTGGTGGATTTGGGATGATGATGGGTCCAGGACGAGCCCCCTTTATGGGGGGGATGGGTCCCACTGCATCAAATCCACTTCGAGGCCCTCGGCCAAGTGGCGTGTTTGCACTGCCTCCTGCACCATCCTCCCAGAACAACAGCCGGTCTATTAAGAGAGATCAGAGGGCAGCAGCTAATGATCGAAATGATAGAGACTGTGTAGAAACAGATGTGGTCATGGGTGCAGCTGGGGAATCAAATGAGGAGACAAAATACCTGCTGGAAACATTAAAGGCTTCCCATGGAGATCAGTTTGGTGGTGTAAATAGCATTAGAAATGATGATAGTGAAAGCGAGGATGAGGCACCAAGACGGTCAAGGCACGGGGAGGGAAAAAGCGGCGAGGTTCAGGAGATGATGCTACTCCTGGCTCCTATCACTAACAGTAAGGCCAAGTGGAGTATAACTAATCAGAAAGGCCAACTGTAGCACATGCGTTTCTCCCACGCATCAGCCTTCCTTCCAATGTGATTTCTGTGGACTGTTGTTTTTGAACACTTTTTGGGGCATAAAAATGTACGGGTAACTGATTCGTTGTACTATTTTTCAAATACAAATTTCTAGGTTAACATGACAAATATATACTATACCGAATGAATGACTATATAACAAACGAATGGAATGCTTATTAGATATATAGCGCTGTCTCTAAAGGATAACATTATACACGAGCTCAATCATTGGGGCAATGCAGTGCTAGGCACACGAGGCTTATACATGTATATATGTAAATCCCCTACAATTCATAATCTTATGACAAAAGATTCCTTCTTTCAAAAATTTCCTGGTTGCTACAATACTTTTGTACTTTTGATTTATTCAATTTTTTTGTCCTTTTTTTCGCAAACAAACAAAGAGCAACAAAAGGAAAAATATAGTGGAGCAGCGACAAAATTTTTTAACCTCCGTGAATGGTGCAATCCAATCAAGGTTACTATCCTTGGTACTTTTATTTTTAAGCAATTGAGTAGAATTGATATATATATATATATATATATATATATATATTAACATGATTAACTTAATAGATTCAATAAATTAAAATGTGGATTTCTTTTTGCCTTTTTTTGAAACTTATTATTTTTTGGATTAAATATATCTATTTGTACTCATATGATATTCAAAGTCTCTTATCTATTTTTAAATTTTCAATTGCATCATCTCTGTCTTTGAAATGTTCAATCTCCTTTCGATCATATAATTTTTTTTAATCACAATGCCCTCGATTGAAGTGCAAAAAAAAATCTAAAATACTTTAAAAATGAAAATTGCGGGTAATGTGATTTTAAGTATATATTTTTTAATTTATTTTAGTCGAGGGTATTTCGATTAAAAAATTTATCTATGATTAGAAAAATTAATCAAAATGATAGATTGAGCATTTCAAATTTGTTTTAGGGATAGATGGAATGCCTTTAAAAATTTAGAGACAGATAAAAGACTTTGAGTATTATATAAAGACAAATAGATATATTTACTTTTTTTTTTCCTTTCTAAAAGACTCGTGTTTGTTTGATGCTCTTTTTAAGGGATACATAAGTAATCTTTTATTAGGTTCAAGTCTTTATTCTTAAAAACTTCTTTTTACTCCCTTTTCTTATAGCCTCGAGGACTCGGCTTGAGGGTGCAAGGATAAAGTTTCTTTGCTCCGGGTGGATCATTGTCACATTGGGATTATGTGAAAATCTGAAATTGCCATTTAAAGAAAAATTTTGAAAACATACTTCCTGAATAAAAGAAAGTGTTGATTACAATTTTGTTTGGTCAAATGATTCAAACTTTTTTTAAAGTTTAATTCATTTGGAAATCAATCTATCAATTTTTAATTTTATATTGGACCTCTCTTTGACTATTTTTTATTGGAGATTTTTAATCTTTGCTAACGTCCATCAACTCTAATAATACAAGTGAACATGACTTGCATGAAATCAACTTTTTTCACTCCCTCACTAGCTAAAAGCGTATTAAATGTACATGCAAACTAGAAGAACATGCCTTGCGAGTGCAAATAATCCTCGCCCACTTCAAATTATTTTTATCATCATTTTGTAATTTTGAAGTTAGAAGACTACAATTTGGTATAAACCTCTCTCTCTAGTACAAATCCTACATTCTTATCAAATTGCTAGCTTTTGAATTACCTTCACCAATACTATCTCATTGAAGGTACTATATAAAAAGTTGGAATTGATCGATAAAGGAAATCATGCATGTTAAAGTTATCGATTAGTAATCAACTTACAAGGTTAGTGTAAATCATGCTTAATCACGATACTTCGCTTAAAAAATTATCTATTATTTTGAATTAACATTGGGTTTTGAAAGATTTTTTTGTTGAAAAAAGTCCTTTATTGGAATTATTTTTTTGTTGAGTTTTAGGTATGGGTCACCGACAATGATTTGTTTGGGGGTCCATGTGGGGTAGTTGATTGGTTATTTTTTGGAGCGACTTTAACGATATATGGGATTAAATGAGGTTTTGTAGTGGGTTTAGTGCTAATATATATATATATATATATATATTAATGTTTTGTTGTTGTTATGTTTTATTTCATGTTGTTCCTATTGGAATAATGTTTTATCTTTTTAATTAGAATTTTTGTTACCTACATACATCAAAAACATGCATAAAATATGTACAAGATGATGAATCACTTGAGGATTTATTATGAGGATACCTGGATTTATTTTCATATTCTTGTATACTTAAGACATTCAACTTAAGGAGCAACATACGGAATATGAGTAAATTTGTATTGATATCAAAGAGTTTTTGAAGGATAATGGTTATTCCAATAAGATTGGGTTCCTATAAAATTTGGACATTAGAACATAGTGAATGATTATAGGGCTTTTGGAGGATGAAAAGCACTTGATGCAAATTATAGAGGACAAGGAAGGGGAAACTTTAGATATTTATGTTAACTATGTTGTATATATGCTTGTATTTGATGTTAAAGATGAAAATAATATCGTTGAAGAGGATTTTGAGTTTACTAATGAGCTTGGTGGAGTTGAACATGAACTCATTGATGATAACTTATTGCATAAGTAGGAAGAAAATAAAGAGCAAGAAAAATATTTATTGTTAGGAATATGGATGATGATGGTCACTACGTGACATTTAAAGAACTTCAAAAAAAGAAAAAGAAAAATCTAATTAAAAATTATTTATTTTTTTATTTACTCGGGGATGTGAGTTAAACCATATTTTTGGAGTCGCTACCTAGTATTAAACTAGTAAACCTAAAATTAGTACTTGGTTTGGAGATTCTAAATTAAGGAGTTGGTTATGTCTTTGAAAATATATCAATCACCCAAAAAACCTCTTTCTTAGAAAGGTACCATGTTTAGTATAATCTTAAAGTTTATCTCCTATAAAATCTATCATTTGCCAAAATTATTCCTATGTCAAAATTCCAAGTTTTATTTCCCAAGCCAATTGATTTTTTTTTTTTTTTGGTGGCATTATATTAAATTGCTTGTTGGACCTCATCACTTGGAAGTCTTGTTAATTTAACATTAGATTTAATTTAAGTCTTGATATAACCGGTATATTAGAGAATAATCTAATTACTAAAATATGATTGATTTGAATTAATATCGAGTCACTATTAGATAAGAGATTTATTAATTCTCGTCTAACATTTCTCTATATTTTTTTTGTTCTTTTCCTTCTTTGTCCTTTTCTTTTCATAGTTTTTAATCATTTTTTTTTAAATTGATGGAGAATTATCATCAATCCCTAAAAAATAAAAAACTCGACGATTCATCTATCCCTTAATTACCTAATTTAACTAAGGATTATTCAAACCATATTTAATATTAAAATAAAAATCTAAAAATAAAACTAGACATGAAATTTAATGATCAAAAGAAATTAAAGGCTAAGCATTGAACTAAATAAATCAAAATAAATAGGCAATAGGAACCTAAAAATTCTAAAAAATTAAATCTATACTAGGTAGGAAAATAAGAGGCATGTATTAAAATTTTAGACTTAATTTACCTAGGAAAACAACTAAGAAAATGAAGAGTGAGAAAAATAGGGGTTATTAGGCCTTTAGGCTTAGTGGGCTTTCGACCTATTAGACTAGGCCCACTAGGTAGGCCTCGTTTCCTTTCCCCTTTCGGCCTTGGGTTGGGTTAAGCTCGGCCTACTTTCTTGGTCTCACACAAGTTGGGCTAAGCCTAGCCCATTCTTCTTGCACAGTGCTAGGTTGAGCCTAGCCCACTCTTTGTCCATACAAGCTAGGTTAAGCTTAACCTTACATTTCTAAAACTCTTCATCAATCCAGCCCTAAAACAAAATTTCAAACCCTTAAACTTTCATCTTCCCGCCAATTCCTCTTTTTCCTCAACCCAATTCTTTTGCCCATAATCAAAATCAAACGATTTCCTCTCCTTCCTCTCCCATAAGAAACTTTAAGCCATATTTTCTTCTAGATCTCCTATAATTTTCAAATAAGCTAATCCCTTACCAAAGCCTCTCAATCTCCTTTCCTTCTTCTCAAAATAGAAGCCCTAAGATTTTTTTTTCCTAATCCGAGTTCTCCGTCTTACATCAAACTTAAAATCAAACCGACCACTTCTAAAAATTGAATCATTTTAAGCCATCACTTTACTCTCCTTCAACTCACAAACTTAAACATATAAAGGAAATTTAGGGCGATGGGAGGTTTGCATGATGGTGGTGATAAAATCATTGTCATCGCTCATTTTTTAGATCAATTAACAACTAATTAAAGCTAAAAATCAATGAAGAAAATAGAGATGCTTACTTAGGTGTCCGATTGAGTAAACTTGGCTCGAGGATGAGTGATTGGAAAGGATGCTTGTTGCTTTGACCAACGAGGATTTGTTAATTCAAAAACCCAAAAGCAATCGGTAATCCAATTGATCCCCTTAGAAATTTCTTTCTTTAAACCCAATAAGAAACCTACAATTTCTCTTCAAGCCTCACTTAAGGTTTTCTCTGCCTTTTACACCCAAAAAATAAAGAGGATTGAACCTAGAGAAACCCCTAATTTCTCCTTCTCAAAACCTCATAAATCCTTTTTTTGCCTTCATTTTCCTTAAATTCCCTCGCCAACTCAATTTCTCAATTCAATGCCTATTCATACACGAGAGCCTTCTCAAAAAAGCTACCATTCCTATGGCTTTTTATTTTTTTTTATTATTATAGTTTTGGCTCTGTATAAATAGGGGCAAAACTCGTGCTTTGTGTATGTGTTTTGTGTTGCGGGTGTAGGAGTTACAAGCTTAGCCAGTTTTAGCTCTTTGGCTTGTTGTCTTCATTGATGAGGATGAACGAGTATTGGAGGATGGTGTAATAAAGGGTAGGCATGCCATTGAAAGGCTGGGAGGACTCGGGTGGTAGGTCATTCAAATTGATTTTGAATTGGCTCTATCGTTCGTGTCTTTTATCAATTTAGATCCTCGTAAGTTTTAATTTTTTTTTCAATTATGTCATTTAGGCATGTTATTATAGTCCCCGATGCTTTTAACTTTTTTCAATTGGGTCATCTGCATCTTTCAATTTTAGTTCCAATATTTAAATTGTTTCAATTATGTCTTTAATTGCTTCTAATTGCATTTCAATTGCATTCAATTGAACCCTTGAACTAAAATCAAAATAAAAAATAATTAAAAGAATAAAATAAATAAGAACAAAAATGGAATAAAAAAAGATAAGACAAATTAAAATGATAAAAATAAAGATGAAAGGTTGGTTAAATAAAAAAATTGATATGTTTCCTTTTTTTTCTTACTAAATAAAAATGCAAATTCTAAAATTAAACATATAACCAAAATAAAATATGAAAATAAGATAATAGTTGAAAAAAAAAAAACTTAAATTTTGGGTTATGACAATTATCTTTTCTTTACAATGCTTACGGTGTAAATGCCAATTGAAGTGCAAACTTTAGATTTGATTTGTATAGTGAGCTTGTAAAGAAAATGTAAATCGAGTGGTAAAAATGAATTGTCTAATTGTCCTAGGTGTATTTTCTAGAAAAGTAATGTAATATCCGTGACCTAAAACCCTTATAGAATGTGAATGCATTGTATAGATATTGTGTTTAATTAATAAAAAGTATATTTATTAAATGTGTGAATGAAGTTTAAATTTTAATTAAGAATAAAAGAAACACAATTATGGTTGAAAGGAAATTTCAATAGAATGAGGAAAGATTGAATCGGAAATTGGCATCATCAATTATTGTGGTTATACTTTGACATAAGGGCTTAATTGCAAAGATAAAATGTTTAGGTATTTGATTGAAATGATTAAGAAAATTTAGGAATTGGAATTATCTTTGGGATAGGCCTAGGATGAGGACCAAATTGATAGAAATTATGAAGTTACGGATTGAAGTTATAAGACCAAATTGCAAGGATTGAAAGTTTAGGGACTAAAGTGTAAAATGTTAATCTTACAAGGAACTTATTAATTGAACTTAAGGGATAATTAAAGCTAGAGAAATTTGGAAATTTCAAAGAAAGAGAGGGGGACGATCGATTAAAGAGGATGAGAGAAGAGAAAATATCTAGGTCAAAAGAGAAAGGAAAGGTAAGGAAGAAGAAGAGAAATCAAAGAGAAATTAATGAACCACCTTGATATTAATCCAAGTGTAACACACTTGGCTTAATCTTAAGGAAAAACACTAGTTATAAATATGGAGGAGGAAGAAGAAGGAAGTGTAGGGATTCGAAGCAGCATAAAAGAATTGATGCGGTGAAAATAATATCATAAAAAAATATTTGCTTTGAAACACCACGAGATCCATGCAAAAAAATAAAGTCAAAGGATCAAATTATTACCTTTATAGCACGGATCACATCTCTTACATGAAGGATGCCTGAATCACAAGCATAAATCAATGAACTGCACCTCTATCGGTATCCACACAAACATCTTGATCACTAGAACAATTCTAGAATGGAAAATCACCTCGATTCGAAGTGCTAGCTGCAAGTTGTGTTGTTTAAAGGTTGGATCACACTTCTACTAAAGGCGGCTAGGGTTTCCTCTTAAGGCCCTTAGGGTTTTTATCTTCATAAGTACTAGGGTTTTTGTCTTATAGTTACTCTTATGTAAAATAAATATTATGTTTTGGTGAGCCATAGTCTTATTAGGAAACTAATTTCCCGACCTTAAGAGAGAAAAATATGGACTGATTATTTTTGACAAATTAATGTCCGATGACTTTGGACTTGAACTTCATTAAGCCCATTTTATATGTCTTAATCGCATCATCCCATTGCTATAATTAAATAATATAATCCAGAATATATTTGAGTCTTACAATGAATCTTAACCTAACTAGGAATCCTAACCCAAGTAGGAATCTTAACCGAACTAGGAATCCTAATCCAATTAGGGATCTTAAACCGACTAAGAATCCTAATCCAATCATGACTTCTAATCATACTCCAATTTTGAGTCGCTCTTTGTGTGTGATCCTCTAGGTTCTTATTATGTTGATAGTGATCTTAAATTATAATTTAAAATCACAAATAGTTAGTCACATCTAGCAATACATCCCTACTACCCAAGTAATAAGAATGTCGGTGATTCGACATAACTTTATCTATGACATATGTTACCATGTAGTAGTCCAGTCCCTTTATCCTAGATGCCTAGATTAAATATGAGACATGGAATGTGTCATTCTCATATAGTTTAATCTTAGCATTTCTTGATCCATGAGTTGACTACTCCAAACAAATGAGATAGATATCTCATATCAAGTCATTTGGGCATGGCCATGCATTTCACGATCTCACTCAATCAAGGGGCTCATAGACATCACTTTTGTTATATAAGAGGGACAAATCCTATCTACATCACTCACATCCCTCTACACAATTCATTATATATTTAACAATCAACTTTATAGTCCATCATGTTACGGATAATGTTTGATGGTATCAAAATATATGACTTTTGATGTAGGGAATTGTAGTGACTTTAAGTTGAAGGATAATGTACACCACGATCATAATGAGACTAACTTATGACACTCATATAACAATCCACATAGTGATTTC